CGAAAGTATTTTTACCTCACATTTTTATTTAGATGTAAAAGTAGATAGTAACCATGAAATTGTCATTTTATAGAAAAATACCTCAATTTAAGGGCCATGTTGTTATATATTATTTTCCCAGATGTACTGAGGTTCAGGATGGAATTCTTTTTTCTAAAGAACATTTACAGAATCTCTAAGTATATAATCCTGTAAATATTTTATTGTATATTTGTTCCTACCATTGTCTTTCAATAATAACACGGCAATAAAATTAAATGTACAAGATAATTCATTTCCCCCAACATGGAAGAATAGTCTGGCCATCCTAACAAGTATAAATTTAAAACTTAAGATACAGTGTGAATTTGGTGTTTTTTGGATGTGCCAAATTTCCCAATATGTTTCTACTATTTTATTAAGATTTTTTTTTGGAAAGCGGTTTAAAATTCATAGCAAATTGAGGGGAAGGTACAAAGATTTCCCATATACCTCAGTCCCCCCCACACACACATGCAATAATCAACCCAACACATAGGGTAATCTCATGCCTTTTACATCCATAAGGTGACTTTGACATTGACATATATCCATCTTGATATTTGGGTTATTTTCTTACCCTAAATCCTCTGTACTCTGCCTACTCATCCTTCTGTGTGTTTTTTTTCTCTCTCTCTTTAACATTGAAGGTATTAGTTGCTTCGTTGAACGGATTTTATACTACCTCTTGGAACTATACATAGTTGTGTATGTGTTCCCTTGGTCGCATGACAGTATTCAAGACAACTTTGTAAATAACAGGCAGATACACTTTTTAATTTCTAACATCTAGTCTTTCCAGATGTATATATTCTCTCAACGTATACTCTTGTAAATAATTCATTGTACAATTCCATGCTTTTATATTCTTGGGTTGTGTGGTGGTTGCTTAGGCTATGTATATATCCTTTTTCTGTGTATTTGCTAGGGGGAGGGTAAAAGGGAGTGGCCCTACACTTTTTGAAATAAGGCATTGTTTAGTGTTTATTCTACATCAAAGACCTCAGTCCTCACTTTGTGGTTGTGTAGCTGATAGGGCATTATGTATTTTAATCATCGGAAATGTATTTTATAGGAATTACACAGCCACAGTCAGGACAATTTTGTAAATAGCAGGCATATATATATAAATACACATCATTTTAAACATCTAGTTTTTCTAGATGCACAGGGAGATTCGCAAAATTTTGTAAATACTTCATTGCAAACTAACGTAAGTTGGCTTCTGGTATGTTTTGGCAATGTAATAGGTGGTTAGTGAATATCTGCTTCCTAGGCTATGCTAGCATTCTGGTGTTGAGTGAGTTCCTGGGAGAGGAATCCT